TACTCTATTCCTGACTAAGGAATCTGAAGAAAACAGCATAATACTTTTGTCTCAAAACCTACATCCTTTGTGTCTTTTATTATATACTTGGTCTCTCAAACCGTATCTTGGTTGTACTGCAAACACGCTAAGAATAATCTTGCTTATCAGTCCAGGCGAGGACATTCTCCGCAGAGAATAGCGTTTGGTTCGATCGATCAGACACGACTCAGAGCCCGTTAATACGGGATTTATCGTGGTTAAAAGATAATTTATCCGCGACCAGTTAAGTCAAGGGATAAAGGTACGACGAAATGCAAAACTACGTCCATCTGGCAAGGATCCATCCAGCCCATCTCTGCAACGGAGAACCGACTGTGCTGAAAACGAAACGAAAGGTTCGGTGCACTTTTTGGAAAACTTAAAAAAATTTTAGCCGGGAAACTGCGCTTATGCATGGAACAGAAAGTTTTCGACCAGTGCTGCCAATTCATCGGTGCGAAAGCTGGACCCGAGGCTTGTAAGCTACCCATAAACTGAAGACTACGCAACGCGGCATGGAAGGACGTATGTCAGGAATGACAAGAGACAAAAAGAAATGAAAGGAGCAAGTAGTTCAAATTCTGCAGTGTCACTGCTTGCTGAAGAAGCAGGCCGAATGGACAGTGGGCAGAGCACGTAGCAAGAAGAAGCGACCGTCGCTGGACCAAATAGACCGTAGACTGGGTTTCAAGAGAAGACAGTAAACTAGCGGTAGAAGAAGCTCCAGCCCGATGGGAGGACAATTCTTTGCATCAAGGGTGGAACATGGATCAGAACTGCAGAAATCAGCATACTTCATTGCAAAGTCTTGGAAACGCCCTCGTTCAGTAGTGCAGAGAAGAAGACTCATAATGATGAAAAGATAATACAACGCGTATGCTTTGTGAAAGAAACGAGCAGGGGATTTTGCAGTCTCTCAACCAGATCGTTAGCTTCATCTACAGCTGATTCTTCAGATTGACTTGGATTAATTTTTCGACGATGAATTCGGTACTGAGAACAGCGCCGTAGCCAGCGCTGTAACCTGCAAATGGGAGACAGGACGATATAATGATGACTGGCAGCCCGGACAGGCAGTCGAGTTTGTAGAAGGCCTCCTGTTTCGATGTAAATACGATCCTGGCAGAATCGGTCCGCAACAGCGAATAATTCATGGAAAGGGTATGAGGGAAAGAAAATGAGGGAACATATGGAAATACTGATGATTCTCATTCATTCCAGAATTTGATCTCTCAGGCGAATATTGTCTCAGGTTGTTGACGTGTAAACAACAAAATCACAGCAGAAGGGCTTTAGTAATTGACCACAAAACATAAGAATAATTTCTTCAACCTCAAGAGGCAGACCATGGAAAACAATTATGCCTCGATGAAGCTGGACGATAAAAAATATTGCGCACCAATCTCAACTTCGTCTGCAGCTAAAGAGTCGAATAGAGATGGCAAAGCAAGCTCAGTGGCCTGAATGCTTTCCATGCGGGATAAGGCGCGATTTTGACCGTAAAAAATATTGAAATACTTGTTTCAAAAAACGGGTCGAATGACAAACCAGATCAGTATATTCTTAGGTGTAAAGAGTCGCCAAGGGGTTACGAACTCTGAAGCAGAAGACGAATGAGGCTATGGTGACGTCATTTAGGGGGAACAATCAGTAGTTCAACTGATGTTCATCAATTATACCAGTCGTAGGAAAATTCACTGCAATCGGTATTGAAAACAATGATACAGATTAAGAAAAAATAACAAAAATCAACCGTTAATAAAAATAGCTTCGGTGACTTAACAGATAGCAGATTCGTTTAAATATCAGCAACATGCACAATGATATTAGTCGTACTTTCAGGTGGAATCGGAGAACCAGAAGGGACGAAGTGAGGCGCGAAGAAAGCAGCTGGACTCGCCATATAATACGGATTAAGTCTGTAAGCCGTAGGAATGGTAGGACTGGCCGCAGCTTGATTGATACCATGGTACCACGAAGCCCAGAAATTGCCGTTTTGGCCAATCAGTCTGAAAGACAACAATCGAATTAACGAATAGAATTTGCATTGCCATGCATAACGAGGACACCCTTACCTTCTGTCATCGGCTTGTAGAATCGAATCCCACGAGTACCTGCCGTTCTGCATCCTCCCGTTCAGTGGAACAGCGTAGGGATAGGAAAATTTGCCGGTCATGAAAGAGCCCGGTGGCAGACCTGCAAAGCATAAAACTATAAAAATTACTATACAGTCGCTTATAATGAAATATGAACGATATAATTACGCGGGATGACGAAGGACAAGACAATTTTCTCCACAGATTTCGCTTGATGGAGCGCAAATACACACACAGGTCAGCTGTCGACCCTCATCAGACAAGGAGGAAACTGGTCTGACTAAACAACGTCTGTGTGAGTGACTCTCTTTCGGGAAGATGAGGTGAGCGCGCGCACAACTAAGTGTGCACGGGTGCCGTGGAGGGACAGACGGACTGGCGCTGAGGCAAGCGCAAGCTTCGTCGACCGTGCAGGGCAGGCAGACGCATTACACGTCGAATGAACGAACAACAAGTGCTGCTTTAGAAACGGTTGAAAAAGCGATGTTAAGCGAGGCAAAAAACTACGATGTGGCAATTTGGAAACATGAAGCCTCGAAGTGAGTGTGTGTGTGATCAGCCGCCACCGCGTCACCATTTTCCGTCGTCGCGAAATGTGTCTTCGCTGATCTCCGTTCTCTCGTCTCCACCACCACTGATGATGATCACGTTCGAAACGGAAAAACAGCATTTTATGCATAGAGCAAAAAATATTACTGTCGTCGGACGGATACATGGCGTCTGTCCCGTTCTTAGGTCCGTTCACGACTCTCAACAGACGAAACTGGTCCCAAGCCGTCGACTAGAGACAGCACAGAAGAGCTTGCTATTCAAGCAGGACAGAGAATACCCCCAGTAAACTAACGTCGAGGTATATGCCTCATAAAACAAGCGAATATCCGAATAATGGATTGCATATCAAACGAAGTATGTTCGCCATAGCCGCTACGACCGCTCGGGTCACTCTTGACGGCCTGTCATCTGACAATTCCTGAACAATTCCCTCTGAATCTAGAGGATTCTGATAATACTTCCGAATGGAAAGGTTACGGGTCCATCAGCAGTATTAGTTGTCAAAAGGAGCGTAGTGACATCCTTTCATTATGCTCTTCCCTTCCCATCGAAGGAATGGCCATTATAGACAACAATGCAAGGACATCTAGAAATGAACATCATGCAGACCCTTGAGATCGCACATGGCCGGGAAAACTGCTAAGAAATTAGGCACATGCTGTCACTCATCTGGCGAGAGGAAAACACTTATTTTTCCGTTGCATGTCACTACGTCAGTAAACCGAAGTCTAATCGGCAATCGTTCAATAACGAGAAGACAGCTTCCTGCCGTTAAAGCGATTGCACTACGTAATAATAATTAAATG